TTTTTTTTTTTTTTTTTTGCTCGATTTATCCTCGTTTTTTTCTGTTCTGTTTTTCTTCTTTTATTACCTTTTAAACAGACTAAGTTTTATCTCAAAAATCGAAATGTACAAACGTATTGTTTTATCGTCAATTTACAAATATATTTTATTGGACCGACTCTTTCAAATGTATCATTTTTCCTTTCGCCTGATGTCAAATGAAATATATCGCGAAAAACTGGAATACTAATGATACTGCTATGAGCCTCACATAAAACACTGGAACTTTCAACGGATGATACATGGCAAATGACATATACTGTAATTTCGATCAGAAGCATTCTGGTTAAGCAACAGCGTTTAGAGTACCTCTTTCTTACTAGGTACCGTTACTACTGACGAATGATGCCAATCATGTCTTCTGTACGGTCCAAACAGCAAAAAAGTTGTTGATTCTAAACAACTTCAACGACATAACCACAACTTTATTGGTGTTTAAACCGAAATCATCTCTAACAAAAGAATCGAATTGAAAATTAATGTCTGGAAACCTATTTATTTGAAACTGGAAACTTAGGTTACTATATGATACCCTAAATAGACTTTTTTCAATATTACTGCTGTTATGCTGATAATGTCGGTCATTTTTTAAATAAATTTTTGGATACACTGATACTCATTCCAGCTGAAATAGTTTTATGGTCAATATCGACAAAATCGTTCTAATGCGTTTAAATAAGGACCTTATACAAAACGGTTTTGAAAAAGCAACGTGATAAGCTGTTCTAAACTGAAATATATTTTTTTGAAGACACGAGATTAAATAAATCTGTAACATTGTCAAATGAGCTGTTAGCCTATTAGTTTTCAAAAAAAAATCTGATTGATAGGTGTCACATGATTATTAACACATCTATATGTTATGCAGTGACTAATGAACGCTTATTAATTTATTTCACTCATAACTTTTTCTTCCGCAATAAAAAACATAAAAGACATCATTATCGAAAACCAGCTTCAATTGATTTATTAATTAGGTATTTTAAATGAGTACTAAAAAATTACTGTGTGTTGTTACAGGTAATAAAAAACCAGTTAAATTTTGTATAACTGTAAATGCTAAAAGATAGACTGATTAACATATCTAGGTGGTTGATAAAATGTTCGTGATGCAATGTACAGAACAGCCATGTGGATCGTTAGCAAAAAAATTAATTGGTTGCTTTTTGCCATCAGGACTTTGGATTCCATCAAATACCAGCAAAAATTTTGGTAGCGGTACATGGAGTTGCAACATTGGAAATGATGGAACATTTGCCATTGAAAGAGTTGCCTTTTCGTACTGGAATCCAAGTGGTAAGATATTTTTTTTACACAAAATTGCTGATCTCAATTCTAACTAATTAGAAACTCCCAATGATTACAGTTGATATTTACACTTAGATATTGAATAGTCACAACAGTTTTGGCTTCATATTAAGCCTAAATATTTTTCTTACTGCGCTCTAAATTACTCTGCTTAATCAAGCTGATTTAATACAGAATATGTGATCATTCATTCCCAAATTATCATGTTAAAGGTGTTTGTAAGAAGAAACAGTTTATCTAGATGCAGTTAGCTGTTTTCTTATGGAACACTTTAGTTTTACTGAGTAGTTTATTGAACAAGGACAATACTATAT